GAACTGTCTTCGATCTAACTTTTATCTAGAAATAGTGTCATTAACAATTAAAGTTAATGTAATTGTGAATGGATTAATTCATCTATGTGCGAAGGCAGCACGTGACTCTCAAGACACCCAATATCTACGATCGACGTGATATCCCGGATGAGCCTGGAACCTGCTGATGATCAGGTGCGTAGTCATACGTACCAGGTTCTGCACCAGGCAGTAATCCGGATAACAATACGAGGCCGCGGCGTATCCAGTCAGGAAGCACAGGACGACCGCGGCCACGAGGAAGCCGTTGTTTACCGTCTCTCGCATTCTTCTGGGTTATTGCCCGCTCACTCGACGATGCGCGACACTCGGTGGATGGTAGTGATGGCACGTGTCACCGACCTCGACATGTCAACCGCGCGGCCAAGTCGCGACCGGTATTGATTCTAGACGTTCGTCGCGGCGCCGATTACCATCCCAGAGCGGCCTCCTGGACTCCGCGTCGCAACGACGCAAAATACCGTACGCGCTCGCGGAACGGCGTCCAGCGATCACATCTGTCGGACGCGGGGACGCGAACTGCGCGTCGACGCGAGGAAGGCTCTGCTGGGAGTGCCGGGTACTGCTTGCATCGCTTGTCGTCGACAAGAACGGACCCTACAAGGCGGTTCATCGATGACTCGAGTCATTCACTGGTCGCCGCGTCGAATGGCTGTGACTCGGGAGAAGAAGAAGGAAGAGAGAGCGACGCTTCTTTTCAATTTCGGGATACGCCGCGCGTTTTTAGCGCGCGAATAAAACGCGGCACAGAGACCTAATTGCCGAGGGAGAGATAAATTTCCTGATCTCGATAAGATAAGGAACGAAAGTTGTATGTTGAAACGATATCGATTTGTTCAAACCGCGGCAATTAAACCGTGAGATATAATTGGAGTAAGACGAGAGGGAAGGAAACTTAGAGAAAAGGTACTGTTTTATATTTTATAAATAATTTTATTGCAGAAGTGTGAAAAGCCATATATATTTTAAAAAGCCATATATATTAAGAAATTGTAGATATATTAAAAATAATACAATTACCGTGTAAAACAACCAAATTGTTGCGATACGTGGAAAAATAATACGATTTGTATGTCTTCCTCGGTGAAACGATTTCACAGACGTTTATGCGGATGTCAGATCTCAGATAGGGCAAGATTTGTAATCTTATCGCGAACTGTATGCGTCACTGCGACCACAAATTGTCATAACGTATGCGGTTCGCTGCAATTTTAACGCTCAAAGTTACGCAATGATAATTCTCACGAAACACTTGGATATTAATAGCTCAATTAATTTTCGATTGTAACGATAAAAGTTAATCACTTGATTACTGAGTTATTCTACATTTTGAATCCACCTGCGCTAATTAAGTGCAATTCATCAACTAGTTAAAGAAACATCTGCGCGTCTCAGAGGCCAAACTGACCGCTTTTGAATTTCCTT